AAAAAAAAATCGAATTTAATTACAAATAAAAAAAACTGTTGTTACTAATCATAGAGTGATTACTCGACATTATTAATATACGATCGGTGTTCATATTTTAACTTCCGTCATAGTCTGTGTGGAAGTCTAAAATTTTTACTCCTATACATCAACATTCGTTTTAGATCATGTTTCAAAAAACAAAAAACAAAATTGTTCAAATATATAAAACTTATATTTGAATCTAACTTACTATTCAATGTCATTTGTGTACTAGGTTCTCCAATAGATTGTGCAGCTAAAATTCCAACACTTTCACCTGGATCAATACATGACTTAAGTGATTTAAAATGAATCATTTTTTCAAATGTTCATTTATCCATATTAGTTTGATCTAATTTTCCATGTGTTGGAATATAATTTCTTATTAAATCATCTAAACGTTCAGTAATAGCAACTAAATTTGATGCTGGTAAATAATTTTGTGTAACAGGTGAATAAAATTTAACAACAACATGATTATATTGTTGACGTTTAGCATCAGATAAATTTCTCCATGTTTGAACCATAATTGAACGTGCTTCATTAATATCTTTACTTTTTAATGAATTAGTTAATGTATGTAAATCAAAAAAAACGTGAATAATTTATAAATGGTGTCATATGAATTTTTGTTTCATCACTTATTTTTAAATAAATTGAATCATTTAAATTATTTTCATCATCAGCTAAATCTCGAGTTTTTTTCTCCATGCACGAATTTTTTTAAATGTTTTTATAATTGGTTTTTCTTTTGTTGAACCACATATATCAATAATACGTGAATATTCATCTTGACGTAATATTATTGATTGATTAGCAACAACATATTGATAATAAGCTTCTTTTAAATAAGTACATTTTTCAATAGCTAAACCATCTTCACAATATTGAAATTGTATAACACTTTCATCACTATCACGTACTGTTAAATCATAATTAACAACTAAACCTTCTAAATGTTTCATTAAACAACGTTGTAAATAACCAATACGTGCAGTTTTTACAGCTGTATCAATAAGATCCTAATGAAAGAAAAATAAAAATGAATTTAAAGAAAAAACAAATAATTGTTTTTATACTTCTCGTCCAGCCATACAATGAAAAAAATATTCTTGTGGTCGTATACCACTTAAAAAACTTCCATCAACAAAACCACCTGATCGTAGTGAATATTCATATGGACGAAATGATGGTAAAGTTCGACCACTTGGGATCATTGGTGGACGTTTACCTTCTAATTCTTGTTGACCAAGTAAACAAGACATTTGCATTGCATTTACAGATGAACCTTAAATAATATTAAAAAAATATTTTATAACTATAACGTTGAAATTAGTAGTAGAGATTTTATTTCGTTTTAATTTTTAAAGTGTTAACATAATAGAGATTAAAATTATGTGAGAGATTGTCGAATTCTCCCGATGAACGGAATTCGATTTGTTCAATGAAAAGCATCAATCGATTTTTGTTAAGCAATTTATCAGAATGTTTCTAAAGGAAGATCAAACGTTGGTTAGAAATAGCTTATAGATACTCAATTTTATTTGATGCTACATATCGTCAAAATTTAGTTCTAACTTTCTGTCTTTGGATATGTGCTTAGATACACTCAATTGTCACTGATATGAAGAAGATCCGAACGAGTGAAAAATAACAATGTATATCATCGAATTGATTAGTTCATCACTTTCAGCTGTTTTGTTGTAGCTTCTGTGATATATCTAATTTCGATTATTTAACATGTGTTCTATTAACGAACAAACGAATTTCTTTTGTGAGCCGAAAAATGTGTACACATGAACATTAATAATAGACAACTGTTCAGAAACTGACAAATAGGAAATAGGCATGTTTTAATACCATTCTGTTGGGATTCTTTTGCTGTTATGCGATTATACATAGTCTAGAAATGAAACGATAGTCAATTGAGAGAAAGGTTTTCGAACTCGAAAAACAAATGCCAGTATGAGATTCATTATTGAAACACTCATAAGATCTGAACTACCTATTTCATAAAAATGAGTAGCCTTCATTTGGTAGTAAAGGGTTTACTTTATATTTCTTTCCGCCGTCTGTCAGAGCAGTATATAGAGGTTTTTTCTCAACTCTTCTGAAGCTCGATACGTTCTCAAACCAAAGTATTGCAATAAGCGCAGTTTAGCATATCTATATTAAAATTTACAAAATAGTGATGGCAGATGAACGTATAAATGAGAAAAGTAGTATAATGAACACATCACTCAGGTTATATGATAACAAGGAACTGAAAAAAGTATACAAGTCAATATTTAGTTCGTTCACATAACTATCATAGCTCGTATCAAAGCTCTCACAAGGGAAAGCCCCCAACTTACGGATGCCGTTCGGCTCCATATTATGATTACGAGGTAGGTCTCTATGAGACTAAGAAAAGTCTAAAAGGATTCGTGCCTGTGGCAAAGGATTTCCGAAAAGACCGAATTAAAGAATTTCGACCTAAAATTTTGCCCATAGATAGATTTAATGGTCATTAGAATTGTCTGAAAGTTTCAGCCAAAACGAATGTTCCTTTCTCGAGATATTGAATTGTCAAATAGACTCGGTTTTTATGACCTGTCTGTGAAAAGTGACTATTTTTTGATAATTCAATATCTCAAGAAAGGAATGTTCATTTTGGCTGAAACTTTCAGACAATTCTAATGACCATTAGACCTATCTATGGACAAAATTTCAGGTCGAAATTCTTTAATTCGATCTTTTCGGAAATCCGTTGCCACAGGCACGAATCCTGTTAGGCTTTTCTTAGTCCTACCTCGTAGTCATAATATGGAGTCGAACAGCATCCTTAAGTTGGGGACCTTCCCTCGTCAGACAGTTTGAAAATTTGACGGAATCTTATACACTTCTGTACTTGTGAGGGATTTCCAGGTTGAAAAATTCGAAATCGATTTGATAGTCATATAAAAATTCAAGTGACGTAGTTATTAAAAGATTCGAGTATAGAATTAGTCGACCTGAAATAATAAATATAGGATAGAAAGCTTTATACATAGATTCTGACTTTCAATAACATATTGTACTAGTCGATGACTTCAGTCTAAATCCTATTTGAATTTCAAATGCTTCACAATCAACGAAAACAAATCTAAATAAAAATCAATGAATGAATAGTTTTACCTTTAGCACCGGATTGAATTAAAAATTGTAAATTTATTTTCTGAAAATTGTTTAAATAAATTTGACATACATTGTTTAACAATTTGATTTTGATGTTCATCAATAGATATTTTATAATTTATATCCATTTCTTTTGATATACGTTCATCAAATGATTTTGAACAAAATGCTTTAGCAAATTCATTAATAAGTATTTGTTCATTAGAATTTTCTGGAAGAGAAAATGTTTTTTGTAAAGCTTTTTGACCTGCTTGAGCACGACATTGATTTATTAATCGACGTCGATGTGATACACCAGGTGAAAGTAAAAGAACATCTAAAACAAAAAATATTTATTTCTAGATCAAAAAAAAATTTTTTTACCTTCAATTCCAAGTGTAAATCCTCGATAATATTGTAAAAAAAAGTGTAAATAATTTCGAAAAAGCAGTAACAAGATCAGCAGCACAACGTTTTCTATATAATTCATAATAACAATGAATAACAGATGCGAGTGTTGAACCACAATGTGCTTTATCAATTAAACCAGATAGAAGATGTCCATGACGAATAATAACATTTGTATCAGCCATTAAATCAATATTTATTGCATTTGATTTTGATGGCCATGACGATAAGAAATATTTTTATTATTTTATTATTTATATATTAATTTTTTTTTTTTACTTTCATTGAAAATTTTGATTTACTATCGAGATTAAGTGAAGCTTCATTAACTGATTGAATATAAAGAAGTATTGTTGAAATAATCTTAATAAAAAAACAAATAGATTTTATTAAGAGAAACAAAAAAATCCTTGTTTTCCAGTCCATAATTGTTTTGGTTTCCAAATACATGGTGGTAATAAATGAATTTTTCGACGAGAATGTGATCCAATTGCATTATATACAAGTTGTTGATAATCAGATCTTAAAATACAAAAGAATTTATATAAATATATTTTTATAACTTGAATAAAATAAAATACTTTTCAAAAAATCCATCATGCATTGTTAATGTTGTACCAGTAACAACATGATCTTGAATAAAACCAGTTAATGGTGTTCCATCTTTACTTACAAGAAAATGTTGATAAGTTATCACTAAAAATACAAAAAACAAAATTTTTTTTCCTTGACAAAAAAAAACTATGTACTTAATTCAGCAGCTTCAGCTCGTGTTAATTCATTTTGTAGTAAATGAATATTCATTTCATCACCATCAAAATCAGCATTAAATGATTTTACATTGAGCATAATGCAATCTTAAGGTTTTTTCACCAGGTAATACTCGAGCCTATAATTAATACAATTAAAATATCATTCAAAGAACAAAAAAAAGAATTTACCATATGAACTTGTATACTTGGTCGATGTAATGTTGGTTGACGATTAACAAGAACATAATCACCGGTTCGAAGATGTCGATAAACTTTTTTTGTAGATATTAAACTTGTATTACTATGTTGTTTTTCTCTTGTTAATAAAAGTTTAGCAACAGCTGTTCGTTGAGATAAATTATTTGGTAATAAACGACGAATTGTTCCATCTTCAAGTTCAACAAAATTTGCTCTAAAATAATCTTTTTTATTTTATATCATCAAAGAATTTTTGTTTTTTTTCTTTTGTGTTATACCTAGGATGAACATCTGGTCCATTAAGAATTAATTAACGTAATTTATGAACATTATGTGGTGTAAATAATTCTGGATAAGTTAATTTTTTTGTAAATATTTCAGGTATTCCAACTTCATAAATTGCAATAAATGGATCAGGTGATATTACTGATCGACCAGCATAATTTACACGTTTATCCATCATATGCATACGAAATAAACCTTCTTGTTTTTCAATAACCTTTTATTATTTTTTCAAAAAATAAAATTAATTTTTACAATAAAAAAAACAAACAATAACATACTTGTCGAATACCTTTGGCTACTCGAGCACCACTTTGATTATCTAATGAACTATCAAATATAGAATTAACAGTAATTTGCATTTTAAGCCAAAGATTATTAAGTTTTTCTTCATTTGTTACACCATGTAAAGTATTTGTTAAAGAAGATCGATTCTGAATATAAAGAAAAAAAAAAAAAAGGCAGAATTACAATATGAAACACGATGAAACTGTTGATATTGTAAAAGAAGCGATTAATCAATATATATGTTTCAGTTTATGAAATTTCACCTAGTGTTAATGCATGTCAGTGATGGAAGATATTGACTTGGATCTCACGATTATATTGGGAAAGAGAGAGAGAGAGAGAGAGAGAGAGAGAGGTCCAAACTTCTACTTCTATGCTTCACCATTTCTTTTAGATCGCGTTTCAAAAATAATAAAAATATCTTACAGTAGTTGATGTTGATATATCTGTAGTTTGTTTATCTTTTAATAATAAAAGTTCTTTCATATATTGATTATTTTGAATAATTGTTGAATATCGAACTGTTTTTGGATTTTCAAATTTTTGATCATTAAATGATAAAACCTTAGAAAAGATAAATTTTAAATCTTTCTGTTCTTTTTAATATAATTAAATACATACAGGACGAAATTTTGAAGGTAAAAAACATGTAAAACTTCAAAAAAGAATAAACTCATTGGATTATTATGAACATGTGTTATTGAATGATGTGATGATCGTAATGTAGCTAAATAAATTGCAAGTACTTCTTTTTCATTTGTCCAAATTTTTTCTAAATGTTTTAATACATCTAATGGTGTTAAATACATTTGACTGAACATCATTTTTGTTAACATTTCTTCTTCATCATTATCTATTGATTCATCATTATCATTCAGTTTTTTTGATTGTCTATAAACAAAAGAAAAACAGATTTGACAATGTATTTACGTCTCAATGAAGGCTTTAAGAATCTATGGTAACTTTAATAGAAATCAGTGAAATTTCGTGGATTTTATTGAGTCCACAATCGAAACTAATGAGGAGACTCCACAAACTGAAAAAATTTTCGAGCTCATGTCTTACCAATAACTGGGACTACAGAAGTTCGCAACGATTTGCCTCTATAAGCCTTTCCACAGCGTTACAACCGTTTTCCTGGAACTTCATCCTATAGCAAACAATCGAATTAAGAATACTCAGTCTGAAATTTATCCATAAAAAGGTCATATGATCTTTAAAGGATCCTAAAAGTTTCAGACAGAATGGTTGCTCCGTTTTGTCTGAAACTTATTAATTCGATTGTTTGCTAAACATCTTGCTATAGGATGAAGTCTTATAAAAACGATGTTAATGCCGGAGAGAAAGGCCTATGTTGTCAACTCATCGCTCTTATAGAAAAAATGTACTAATATATATTCTCACTAGAGAAGATCTCACCATGCCAGTTCAACCTAAACTAGTACTAGTTCGACTCGGTTATATTGCTAAATGGCGACGAGTACATATGCGAAAAGGAAAATGTTGGAGACATAAAATTTCATATACATATACGAAATCAATAATATTGATGTACTTTTCAATCTTGTCTTATTTAAGATATCCTAACTCCTTCCAACATTTGGTTCTTTGGACATATATCTACTCTACTCGGTATTTTTTTTTATTAGAATTAATAGATCGCTGAGTGCATTCAATAGATTGATTCGTATGATTATTCAAAGGATGATATTCGAATTAGATTATTGATGAGAAATAATTCATTAAATACTTACCGGACATTAGACATACGTTCTTGATAAGCTTTTATTTGTTTATTTGAAAGTCCTTGAGAATAAAAACGTTTTGAATGTGAATCTGCACGAAGTGCACGTACAGGTATATTACAATTGGGACAAAATTTTTCTAAAAAAAAACCAATAAAAATTAATTTGAAAGTTTTCTATAATTACAAAACAAAATATAAACTTTTTGTTTTAAATGCTCGTGTTTCAAAATCTTTTATAAGTTGTTGTCGAATAGTTAATAAATTTTTTGTTGTTACTTCTATTTTAGTTGATGATGGTGGATTTAATTTCATATATTCATTAATTTGTTCATAAAAATGTATCTAAAGATTTTTTTTTTCTAATATTCATGTTTTATAAATTGATTGTAAATTATCTATTTCATTTGTTTGACCATGTTTTAAATAAAGCATTTGCATATTAAATAAATATTTTTCTACATTTGAACATTAAATTGTATGACAATGAAGACAACAACCATGAAGAACTTTGAAAATTGCAAAAAAATATTAAAAAAAAAAGATTGAAGAAAATTTATTTATTGTGATTTACATTAACAAGATTGAAGAAAGAATACGGGATTGTAAAGACGTAAAACAAGTTATATATGTCCAAGATGCCATGGACAAACAACAAATCCCTTGATCACAAGTAAAACAACGATCATTTTTTTATCAAAGGGTCCTAATGCGCTAAATCATATGGACTATCAGATACTGATGCACCAAGACGATCAATTGCTTGTGATGATGTTAATTCTTTTACACTTAAACAACGAATTTCTTCATATATATAATTATTAAATAGAAAACTACCAATTGTGGTATCCGATGGATAATAATTGATTGTCTTCATCTTGTTTTCTACTTTGAAAATAAATCAACTAAAAATTCATCGGATGGATTTCAGATCCCTCTCAAACGTCAATGGCCTATTAGGGAGAACCGATTAGAAATTATATGGAAATTTTTATATATTAAAAATTGAAAAAAATTTCATTTTAATAAATGAGAAATTTGATTTATATCAAAAATAAAAGTTTTAATTTCTCTGAAAGAGGACGCCACAAGATGATGTCATATATTTTTTTTGTTACTTCGCAATTTAACAGAAACATTTCCTTTTTTTTTATAGCTAACATTCTCTTAACAAATGTATTTAGAGTAGATATCTCATATGTCAAACTAGAAAGTTAAATTCAAATATTCAACTTTCAAGTAGATATTAAGTGATTTGTATGGTTTTCAACAATATTTTAAGACAGATTTAGAGGATTTGAGCTTGTTTTAAAAGTTGTAACTCAGTAGTAACAATATGTGATCGATTTTTTTTCAAAAGTATAATTTTAATTTACTTGAAAAGGTTTTTTATTCATTGATTTTCTAAATCGGATTATCAACAACTTGTATATATTGCTATTGGATAATATTCTCGTCGAAAAATTCGTTTATTATCACCTTGTATTTGGAAATTAAAACAGTTATGGACTAAAAACAAGTATTTTTGTTAATTGAATTTTTTTAAATAAAAACTAATTTTTTTCCTCAGATTATTTCAACAATTCTTCTTTATATTTAACCAGCTGAAGAAGCACAACTTAATCTCGATAGTAAATCAAAATTTTCAATGAAAGTAAGAAATTCAAAAAAAAAAAAAAAAACAAAATAATAACCAAAAAATTTATTTAATCATGATCATCAAAACTAAATGCAACAAATATTGATTTAATGGTTGATACAGATCTTATTCATCTTTTATCAAGTTTAATTGATAAAACACATTGTGGTTCAACACTTGCATCTATTGTACGTAAGCAGGCTTCGTAGTCGTCCTATATTTCCTATAATTCCTATATCTTTGGAAATTGTCCTGTAATGTCCTATTTTTCAGGAATTTTCCTATATTTCCTATATATTTGAAAAAAAAGCCAAGATTCTTTTAAAATGAAATATATTTCAATCACAAAAAAAACACACATGCTTCGGTAATTGCCATAACTTCTATAGTAAAACGAATAGCAACTAGCGCTAGTGTATACATATTTTATTGTGTATAGGTATATTCACTATTAGGATTGGTTTAGTGATGAAACCAGGATTTTTCGATATGCGGAAACTATCAGATCGGAACATAAGTTCTGCACGTTTTTTTTTGTGTTTTAGGCAAATTTAAGTCCTTGTGTTTCGTGATTGGGAATTAATGGAGGCCTGAAATTTTTAGTTTAGATAGATCTCTATGACTTCGATCTACACTAAAAATTTCAGACTTCCATCACATTCCAGTCACGAGATATAAGGGCTTAAATTTGCCTAAAACACAAAAAAACGTGCAGAACTTATGTTCCGATCTGATAAGCTTTCAAGCACAAGTTCCAAATGAAACTTGATGGAAATTGGTATTAGTTTGAAATGATGACTTTCGATCAAAAGATTTTTTCGATGGAATTTTGCGAAAAAATTACCATTCTCCTGAACCAGAGATGCCCATCGCGGTTGAAAACTGACCGCTGTCGTGCCGTGGCGATAAAAGAAAAAAGCTAGCGCGTCACGATGGTTGTTTTAAAAAAACTGCCGCTACCGCACCGCCATGGACACTTCTGCCGTGAACCTTTTAGAAATCTTTTATACTGTTAGTAGTATCCGATTTTCGAAAATGTCACAGAAAGCTACGTCAAATTTCATCGACAGATTTCAAATTTCATCTAAAAATATTGATTTGTTCAGAATTTATAACATTTTGAACTTCTGAAGTAAATTTTCGGACATCTAGCAAAACTTCAAAACATTATAAATCCTGAAGAAACCAATATTTTTAGATGAAATTTGAAATTTGTCCATAGAATTTGACGTAGCTTTCTGTGACATTTTCAAAAACCAAATACTACTAACAGTATCAAAGACTTCTAAATGGTTCAGGAAAATGATGATTTTTTTCGTAAACTCCCATCGAAAAAATCTTTTGATAGAAAGTCATCATTTGGAACTAATATCAACTTCCATCAAGTTTCATTTGGATCCTGTGTTCTAAAGCTGAATTCCAGCATACCAAAATATCTGATTTCGCCACTAGTTTTAATTAAAATAGATTTTTTTCCTGTTGTCCATTTATATCTTTTCTGTGTAATTCCCTCTACTGAAAGGAGGGTCATACACCGAGCAAGGTTCGTATGTTCGTGACTCCGTCCATCCGTCCGTTCGTTCGTTCGCACAGAACGAAAAAATGTTTTTTTGACCTCTCACATCATCGTTTTTATAAGGGTTGATCGGAGGGTAATCGGGGTCGAGGAACTCGAATCTGATGTTAGTTTTTTGAATTTTTTTCGGATCGATGTTTTTTTACACAAAAGATCACTTTTTTTACCAAAAAAAATTTTTTTATAAGGGTTGACCGAAGGGTAATCGGGGTCGAGGAACTGGAATCTGATGTTAGTTTTTAGAAATTTTTTTCGGATCGATTTTTTTTACACAAAGGATCACTTTTTTTACGAAAAAAATTTTTTTATAAGGGTTGACCGAAGGGTAATCAGGGTCGAGGAACTCGAATCTGATGTTAGTTTTTTAAAATTTTTTTCGGATCGATTTTTTTTACACAAAGGATCACTTTTTTTACCAAAAAAAATTTTTTATAAGGGTTGACCGAAGGGTAATCGGGGTTGAGGAACTCGAATCTGATGTTAGTTTTTGGAAATTTTTTTCGGGTCAATTTTTTTACACAAAGAATCACTTTTTTTACGAAAAAATTTTTTTATAAGGGTTGACCGAAGGGTAATCGGGGTCGAGGAACTCGAATCTGATGTTAGTTTTTTGAAGTTTTTTTTCTGATCGATTGTTTTACACAAAGAATCACTTTTTTGCAAAAATTTTTTTTTTATAAGGGTTGACCGAACTGGCGTAATCGGGATCGGGGAATTCGAATCTGATGTTAGGTTTTTGGAATTTTTTTCGGGTCAATTTTTTTACACAAAGGGCCACTTTTTTTTTTACAAAAAATTTTTTTTTATAAGGGCTGACCGGAGGGTAATCGGGGTCGAGGAACTCGAATCTGATGTTAATTTTTTGAAATTTTTTTCGGATCGATTTTTTTTACACAAAGGATCACTTTTTTTACAAAAAAATTTTTTTTATAAAGGTTGACCGAAGGGTAATCAAGGTCGAAGAACTCGAATCTGATGTTAATTTTTTGAAATTTTTTTTTGGATCGATGTTTCTACACAATGAATCACTTTTTTTGCTAAAAATAATTTTTTTTATAAAGCTTGGTCAAAGGTAATCGAGGTCGAGGAACTCGAATCTGAGGTCAGTTTTTTGAAATTATTTTGTGGATCATTCTTTTAAACAAAGGGCCACTTTTTTTACAAAAAAAGAATTTTTATTCCCTTTCTCGTAGAGAAGAGTCTAGCAAAAATAAATTGTTTGATTGCTTGTATGTTCGCGCTTTTTGAAATTGTACAAGTAAATGGTTTGTTGATAGTTCAGAAACACCATTTCTAGGAGAAAGAGCTGAGCGTGTCCCCGGACGAGCGTTACTTTTATACCAATGAGATTTTGTGAGTTCGGAGTTGCACCAATTTAAGGTTTCCAGTTCGGTGTGGATGTGAGGGTGTGAGTGGATGCGAGTGGGTTTGAGGGTGAATGGGTGTGGGTGTGGGTGAGGGTGTGAGTGTGGGTGTAGGTGTCAGTGGGGTATGATGTAGGGTGTGGTTTTGATGGAGTGTGGTTGTGGTGAGTGTGGGTGTATATATGGGTGTGGGTGGCTGTGGATGTGAGTGTGCGGGTCTGGGTGTGCGTAAGTGTGGGTGTAGATGTTGGGTACGTTTGGATGGGTTGGGGTGTGGGTGTGTGTTTGGACTTGGGATTAAATGAAACGTGTTCTTATGCATCCCACAGCGAGGCCCACGCTGATCCTGCACCTATATGCTCCTTATATGTTTTGCAACTGAAAGTTTAGATTTGAGGATGGTTGGAAAACCTATTGAGGCAGTATTCTTCGATATTTTCTGGAATTTTTAGTGGGGCGTGGTAGCTAATGCTACTATGCTTGTTGTTTATGGAAGTTTATTTAATGAAATGAGGGTCGTTCGATTACCTTTAGTTCTCGATATAGTTTGTCGGTTTATTACGACGAGGTCCCATGAAAGTGCACTGCGAGTATTAGCGGCGATGTTGGTAAGAAAACTATGTTGTCATTACTGGTCCTTTCTGAAATCCGTACTTAAGAAAGTTTTCTGATATGGCGCGTGTGAAATGTAGCTTTTGTTGTAGTGTATAGCTGTCAAATGCTGCTTGGGATTCGGATTGAATGCGCAAGCAATAGTGACTTCCTACGGATACAGCGGGTTTACACTGTTCAAATTCTTTTCATTCTCTTTTATCTTGATGGCTTTTATTTCAAATAGAGTTACATAGAGGTTATACAAATGATCTAATGGCTATAATTGTATAACGGATAGATTTCGAGCATGCAATATAGAGTTTTTTTTTATCAGTTAGATGGTTTGCCTGAAGATCACGGCACTCTTGGGATGTTGTTGTTTTAAACAATGAATTGAAAACGTTTCCGAGTACTTTGTGCTATTTTATCTAATCTTTTAAGTTCTTCTATTTGGGCCGTTGATGGTTTAACTTGAAGTGTTCCAAATTCGAATGGACGTATGATTAGTAAATCGTCAAGTCTCTTTACACGAGATAATGGAACATAAACCGATGCGAGTTCAATTGGACCAGGCGGCATCACCAGATCGACGATAATTTTACCGAGTGTTTGGCCTTGGCTTTTATGTGTTGTCATGCTGTATGCGGGTATAAGTGGAAGTGCTTGACGTTTGACGGTGAGTTTTGTTGTTTTCTTGTTTATTT